ATTAGCTCCATATTGCTCTTTGAGATATTAGGATGACCCCCCCAAGGCCATGTAGGACATGCTTAGCCACGGAGGCATTTTGCAACACACATTAAGGATGGGAGTCAACTGATGAGCTTTTTGGAATCCTGGCAATGTACGGATTCAGCTGGGAAATGTCAGGGTTGCTTGGAATTAAGAGGGAAAGACAAGCATAAAATCAAAGGACCGAAGGAATGAGCTCTTAGCAGAAAGGGACGGGAGCTCTGAGCAGCTATTTCTACTGATATGGAAAGAGGTATCAGCCATAAGTGGGAGGAAATTATTCCAGTTCTGTGTAATGGCTCAGGGAGGCTATCTTAGGGTCACAGCTTAGTGGCCAATCCTTCAAATCACATTCTCTTTGTCAAGTTTGATTAGAATTCTCTTATCGTAATGTTTTATCAGACTGCAGCCAGTTATGATCCACTATAATATAGAGAACTAATTTCCCCATTACTAAGTTTCCTGTTATTCTTTTTACCATTGATAGCTGCATGCATTAAATACTGACTCTGATTTTCCTACAGAAACACAATTGCCTTCTTAAATTCCCACTCTATGTGAGGTCCTGACATTGTCTTTTATCATGCTTTTCTCCACAGTGTGAATTTCCCATTCCACCATCTACACATACACACTCACGCAGGACACCTGATACAAAGAAATAAACTCGTTTATATTAACAATTTGTGTTTTTTCTCTTCTCCTACTAGTTCCCTTTGGGTTCAGGTTTCTGGGGTTATCTACTATATAATTTAGAGAGTGTGTGTGTCTGTCCATCTGTGAGTCCATTTGTTCAAGAACTCCTCCTAAACAGTAAGAGTCACCAAATTTGGTAGGCAGCTTCCTCTTATCCTAACTTAAAGCAAGGTCAGGGTTTGGTTGTGCCAGGACATGCGACTGTTTTTCATAAAATGGAAAGGGAGAGGTTCAGAAGGAGAGACAGTTATACTGTAAAATGACCACATGAGGGCAGCCAGGGGACCAGACATGGGAACCAGGACAGCTATACCCCCATTTGGCCAATAGGGGGCAGGGTGGAGAAAGGGACAGTTAGCTTCTAGCATTTGGCCAATAGGGGGCAGGGGTGGAGAAAGGGACAGTTAGCTTCTATAAATTTCAGAGAGTTTTCCCTTTTGAGCGTCTATGTGTCAGTGTGCCTGTCTGCCCCCCCAGTCGGGGGACACGCGCCCCTTTCCCAGCTGTGCCCACTGCATTTGCCACGGCCGTGGAAAGGTGCTTCTCACCTGGCTCTAAGTTGGTGTGATGAAAGAGGGCTAGGATTGTCCTCTCTTCCCAGGGCAGCATGCAGACTGAACCCCTCATCCGTAATCCCCTTCTCTCCTCTCCTTCCTCCTCCCCACCCCGAGCAATGCATTACATAAAGAAAAACAAAACTTATTTGAGTTATGGACCCAAGCAACACCAGGGCTATAACACTTCTAGTTATAAGTGAATAAAAGGACATATATGCTGAATATCAAGAAAAAAATTCCTAGCAGAGTAGATCATTAGACTGCTGGAGTAGTAGCACAGGGAAATGGTGGATACCAGTTCACCCATTCTTGTCACACAGGAAAGAACATACCACTGGGTTCATCCTTAAATTCAGCTGGGTGTGCAATCTCAAAATAAGTGAGAGCACAAAAATTTCACCACAAAGATCAGAATAGACTTACCTCTCCACAAGGACTAAAGGGTGAGGCTATGGGAGAGAGAGGCATGAGCAACAGGTATAGCAACCCCAGCCAAGAAGGTCAGACTACCCTGGAGAGGTATAACTTAGTTGAGTTTTGCTGCTTGGGTTTCTTGGAGATGTTCTTGGAGCGTCACATCTTTAACCGCATGTTGCAGGTACTAATCGCAGTTCCCCTTTCGTTCAAAGGGGGTAACTCAGCTACTGTGTAGTGTGTCTGGAGACTTGCTTTAGAATGGTCATCAACCGGGTGGCTCAGCCCCGCAGCATTCCAATTTTTTTTAAAGACACAGTGTCATTTAGTTACCCTTCACGGCTCTATCTAAGTGTCCCATGTTGTCCCACCTTTGTACCTGCTTCAGGTTCAAAGGGCTCAGGTAGTTAACTCTGAGAAGCAAACATGCCCTTGTCACGGAGCTGAGTAGGTCATGACTGGTGAGGCTGAGCTGTGTCTTTGCCTTGATTTAAATCCCTTTCTGACCGACACCTGAACCCGCACCTTAGACCTTCGAGACATGATCACTGAAATACTTAGCCTGGGTGCTAGTTCTTGTTAAGTTAGAGTTTCAGGATTTGACCACTTTATATTTTCTCCCCAAAAGACTGCTTAACAATACAAAGGTAGCATTGAAGTTAAAATACCCCGATACCCAGGCTAATGAAACGGTGATGAAATGCTACCTCCGAAATCCATCTATCTTCCTGGCTAAGGTTTAAGTCACTTTTTATGACTATGCAGCATTGGGTGCCATTGCAAACCCGTACATATTACCTGGGGAGAAGCTCAGAAACTCACTCACAGAAATCCAGTTTTGGTGGCTCTCCTTACAAATGTCAACTTTTATATATATTACTTCCAAATGCATAGAGCTTTTCCCCCAGGTATTAAGACACACAGACCATGAAGCTATAAATATTTTTGTTGGAACTTTCAGCACAGACACATTCCACACTTCCTCTTTAGAAAAGAGCCTTAAACTATAACTAGTAATCTAGTCCCACAGACTGAGAGCATGTTTGTTTGGTTTTTTAGAGGACGTCAATATTAGTCAATGGAATTCTCTCTGCAGGCAGGAAATAACTTTCAGGTCAGGTGGAACATGAAGACTCTTCAGGTTTCACTCTGTGACCCTGGGAGATCTCATAGACAGAGTCTGGTTGTGATCGGGGTTTGACTGTACATCCACAAGGAACCTCTACAGGAGGCATGGACGGGTACTAATAGTTCAGTAAGTTGAGTTTCCTCCAAGTCTGTACAAGCAAGGGCCACTGCTCGGTGCTAGGGCAGTGATGGACAATTTAGGCAATGAGCCACATGTGGTCTGGGGGCTGCAGGTTGCCCACCACTGTTCTAGGGGCTACTGGAAGTCCTTGTGGAAATGTAACACAAGAAATCAGGAGATTTGTGTTCAACTTCTTCTAGGCCCCCGATTTCCTCTGAGGCTTTGACAAGTACCTTCACCTCTCTAGCCCTCCGTTTCCCTGGGTGTAAAGTGGAAATAATAACATTCTATTCTAAGGGTCCAAGGGGGGCTGAAAGTCTTAATTCACTCATGCTTAGAAAGAGATCCTCGGACTGAAGGTGCAGCATATGGCATTCCATTGTTACACAGTTCCCACATTTTATCCCAGACATGGCTGCCAGTCTCCGGATGCAATGATTGTTGTGTATAGACTATGAAAGTTCATTGGAATCTTCAATAGAAGACGGTATCCAAATTTCATATTGTATTACACTGTGGAATGGACAATAGCTACCACAGAGACAGCAAACCACTTGTTTTTATCAGGGTTATGTCTGACCCAGGGTAAGTGGGGGAGGGGGTAGCACTATTCGCTGGCTCATTTCTTGGCAATGATATTTATAGTTAGGCATGAACTTTACAATCTATGGGACTATGTAACCCTTCCCTGGCTGATGGCCAGCCCAGCACTTCCTACTTCAGGAAGGCAGACACTCGAAAGAAAGCATGTTACTGCAGCACCAGAGAAAACCAAGTAGATCTCCCTGTTTAAGCCACAGGGCCAAGAGCTGGTGAGCTGTGCGCATCTTTATGCCATTGTCTGTTAAGAATCACATTCCCCTGTGAGAAAACTCGGAGATCCTAAAACGGAACCAAAAAAACCCGGGCTTGTTTCTAGACTGAGCGTGATAAGTGCATGGACAGAATGGTACGATGCGACTGCTTACAGTGACATATGGCTCACCCACATCTACTGTTAGTAAATCTCTCCAGTGGTTGGAGATTGGAGGCTTGGTGGAGAAGGTGCTAAGTGACTACAGTGAATTTTTTCCCGGTATCAGTCTGGTGGGGCTTGCTCACATGCTCAGGGGCTAACTGACCGCCATACGTAGGAAAAAATTCCCCCCTGGGCCAGATTGTCAGAGACTCTTGGATTTACTCCTTCCTTTGCAGCCTAGGGCACGGGTCACTCGGTGATGATAACCGGAGTAAATGATGGATTCTTTGTAACTTGAAGTCTTCATTTAAAGACTTGAGGACTTTGGTATCTCAGCCGGACGGTCTGGCTCAATTACTGGGGCAGGAGAGTGTGGTTCTGTGGCCCATTATGTGCAGGAGCTCAGACTCGACACTCGCGATGGTTCCCTCTGGCCTTAAAGTCTATGCATCGGTAAGGAGGACAAATGTGAGTGCAGAGGGGCGCTCCATTCACTTGACTTGTTTTACTTTTGACTTTTCTCCCTTTGTGTTTAACTTTGTCTCTCACTTTGTTCTTAACTTGCGATGCAATGGCAGTCTGAGCCAGCACCCCCTGACGCTGATGGGAGTCTTTCCAACAACTTTAATGAGGGCAGATCAGGCTGAGCAAAATGGGAACTGCCAGTGCCCAGCCCGTCTCTGAATCAAGCCCCCTTTTTATTTTCCACTACATCTGGCAAAGTCGACATTGCTCAGAACGTAAATGTTCTTATTTCATGAAGCAGATCTACCCTCTTTCTGGCCTTGATCACTAGCATGCCTGTCCTACTCGAAGAGTTTTATTTCTGAAGTGACCCTTACAATGAAATATTACCCAAAAAACACAGTTGTAGTATTTTTTGCAGCACCGACCTCCCTTTGTTTTCAGACCCCTGCCAGAGCAAGGCACAGCAGAGGCTGCGCTTGCCAGCTACTATCAACGGATATTTGGGGTGTTAATTTCTGTTAGGTGACACTGATGTTTATAGAGAACTACACCTTTAAACTGAATCCTGCCACTCCTATTCCTGTTTCAACAGACAAGGGGTAGAGGCTCGCAGTGACACAAAATAGGGAAGTCAAATACAACAGAGTAAACTTAACTGAGAAAAGTATTTTCCATTCACTGCACCACAACGTACACACACTTATGAGTCCAAATCAAGACATCTCATAAAATAACCAAGCCTTCCTGCAAGGAGACTGCGACGGTTTCACAGCCTCACCCCACGTGCTTTACGCAATGGACTTACGGACACAAACATGCATAACTCAAAAGATGCTTTGCACAAAATACTTCATGCAACCCATCAATCTTAATGTCCCAGTCTGCTGGATCTGTATGTCATATTTTGGTGCATGTATCACTCTTCTATGTAAGGTTAGAGATATGGGGGATGGGATGGTTTATGGTTTTAAATGTGCAAATGAAAGCCATCAAGGTTGCTTCCAGTGCTGGACACCTCAATGTCTGGGTGATCACCTGTAAACTGCTTCTTTTGCCCTTTGAGTCTAAGCAGTAGTTGGTCTTAGGAAGTCACGTGACCACCCCAACTGGTAGGGGCTGACCAGGAAATTTTCCATGGAAGGTGGGAGGAGAACAAAAGTTTCCACCCAAAGTGAAATCTATAAAACAATGGGAAGCAAGCTGTCCCTTTGTCTCTGGCTGGCATGTCACTCCCAGGAGAATGAACCAGAGACCCCAGAGCAAAAAAGATCGCTCCTGGTTTGGAGATGTAGCTGAAATAAGAATTGTTTTCGGGTAAGTTTGTACTGAGCTTTTAGCGTTAGAACTAACTGTGCATGGTTGTTATTTTAAATGTGTCATCTACTTTGCTCTGCCTGTTTTCTCTCGCAGACACTTAAATCCTGTGGTTTTGTACTTAATAACCTCACTTGGCTTTACTATCAAGCCCAGTGTACATAACTATTACCTGCGGAGCTACCAGTGTGTACATCCTCCTTTCATTGTTAAGGGGGGCTTAATTTGGGGTTCTGATCCCATTTGGAGGTTGGGTTCCTGAAAGCTGGGCCCAAAACTGCATTCTCCTCAGACCTGAAGTGTATCAGTGTCTGTACTGCTCTTGGAGAGCGGGCAGTGATCTCAGCTCGGTGCCTGGGATGGGGGAGACCAGGAGATGTGGCCCAGCAGGACAGGGTGGTGAGAAGCCCCAGAGAGCAGGAGGGTGAGGGGCAGTGGCTTTGTCAGCAGCCCGGGAAGCAGCTCCAAAGGTTCTTCTGTGTCCGCCCCCATCACAGACCTGCAGGAGACCTGGCACAAGTTTTATGTGGAGGGTTGTACAGCCCAGGGTCATGCACCACGCAGGGGTTTGACACGTGTGCGCAGTGAAACCAACGGCTGAGCAGGGCTGCCCAGAACAGGCCCCTCTGAGAACAGTCTGAGTGCAGTGCTCATTAAACCATTTGCTAAAGCTAAACAGAGATATGAAGCTCCGCATAAGGGAACACCCTTATGCTATTAGAGACTATTAAAAGCTCCCCTCCTAAGGCGATTCGAACTGGGCTGCTTTCTATGCACCCCCTGGGGATATTCAACGTGGTCTTTCATCCCCACCTCAGTCACTGATAACCACCCCCCACACTGGACTGCATGTTTTATTCTCCCTCTTTAGCCACAATCAATCCCATGTCTCAGAAGCTGGAACACAAACAAGAGTCTGCGCCAGCATTTCTTGGGCTTTTAGGATACATCTACACTGCACGGCTATTTTGAAATAAACTATTCTGGAATAACTACTCCAGAAGAGCTTATTTTGAAATAGCATGTCTACACTGCAGAGAAACCTCAAAGGAGTCCGAGGCAGGCTCCCATAATGTAGACGTGCTATCTCAATTTAGAGCCCCAGGAGCCACTGGGGAGGAATAACTGAGAATGGCCCTGGTGAGGGGCTATTTTGAAATAGCAGCAGAGGAGCATGTACACACGCCTTGTTTTGAAATGGCTATTTTGGAAGAGGCGTTATTCCTCGTAGAATGAGATTTACAGATTTCAGAATAAGCTGTCCATTATTTTGAAATCACGGAATGGCTGTGTAGACGCTCACATTGTTATTTCAAAATCACGCTGGTTATCTTGAAATAATGGGACAGTGTAGACACACCCTTAAATGGAACTGTCTTGTAAACATGGAAAATCGCAATCTACCGAACCACCCACTAAATCCTTCTTCCCGTGCCTCCTCATGTTCCCTCCTTTTCACCATCCTCAGTTCCTCTCCCTCCAGCAGTTGTATTCACCAAAACGGAAGGAACTAGCAGGGGTACACAGATGCAGTGTCTCTTCCTGAACTCCGGTTGCTCCATTCAGATTAAGAGCTACTAATCGTAAAGACTCAATGGGATCCATCTTTTCAGCATCCTAGAGCTAACAGTGGACTTCAGGAGGCTACCCAGACACACAAGTCGTGTCCTGCACAGCAAGCACTTTACTGCATTATTCAACCCATGTGGAATGTATGTGACATCTCAGATGTCACCTGAAACTAACAAGCTCTAAGCCAATCTTATCAGTTATCATTAAGGAAAGGAATCTGATACCAGACTACGAGTGAAAAAGGCTGCCGTGACTTCTGACCTTTTCCCTCTCTAAACGGGTTGTGCGGATGAATGGCCCGGGACAAAGGTGGGTGAAAATGCAATAAGGAACGACATAGTAACGGAGACGCAGCAAAGCAGGGAGGAGTGCTTTAAGTCAAAATGATTTAAATCACATCTTTCAATCACAATTTGAATCACCAAACAGGAAACCTCAATTTAAACAATTGATTCTCATCTTGTGTTGCAATTGTTCTTTTTTTGTTATTTTCCTAAAGAAAGATTGAATCTCATTGGTTAGTAACCCTTAAAAATGTTCATTTGCAATTGAATATAGCCCTTTACATAAAAGTTGGTACTTTTTCCTAAGCATAGGAACACAATATAGCTATACATATTTAAGCAATTAACATGCATTTATTCAAATTATCAATGTTTGCGTACTTCATTATATCAGAAAATGGTGTATAATGCACTTATTAGATGATGATCATTACTGTGATTTATGTCAAGCTCTATTTGGATAGAAATTGGAACTCAATTAAAAATGTATAGAAACAACATTGTAAAACTGCTGTATTCATGAAATAGAAGTTTTTAAATGTGCTACACATATAAATTTATTGAATCGTTTGCATTTAAAATGAACCGGTTTATTAAATATAGGAAGTATTACCTGTAGTTAGTGAATTGAGTTGTTTATTTCTGGCGCTATGTCCCTCAAGACTGTAGAACTCATCCTCTTGTATTTAATTGTTACTCGTAGATGGGAAGAGGAAAACAAGCTTGCCTTTCAACTCTTGGTGGTTTCTTAAATTGGACTGAACTAGTCATTCAGATGAACTAGCTGAACAAACCGAAATGAAAAATATTCTCTCTGCATCCACAAAAGAGTCTAGTGGTGCCAAAATGAATAAAATGATTCAACACACTTTGGTTCCTGGTGCTTAACTAGTGATTTCCACCAGGTCAGAATGTTTCTGTTTTTAGAAATTTCTGCAGCAAACATGTGCAGCTTAATTTTTATCTTGCCATCCATTTCCCATTTATCCATTCCCAGCAGAGGCACTGAGCTTGCAGGTCGTTAAGTAGGTCCCGGCCTGGTGGCGCTGTATGGACCATTCTCCTACCTCTCCATACATGGACTGGAAGCACTGCACATTTTGGAGGCTGGAATAATCAAGTCCTCAGTGCTTCGAGCCAGCTGCAGACCTGCTACACAAGGACGAGGTAGCGTGTGAGATCGGTGGTCTGGGCAAAGCACTCTCCTATCAGGCAGGCAGAGGTGTTTCACCCATAGGGCATAGCTGGCCCAGGTGCTGGACTTTTGGAGGCCCCACAGCAACCGCTCCAACCATCCTTGGGACAGGAGAGACCCAGGGGATTATGGGCTCTGGCATGGGGTCACAACAGGGGTTGCCCCTCCACACTCACCATCCAGGTAGAGCTGCGTTAGGTTTCTCCTCTGTCAGGAAGCAGAGCACCCTGGCCCCAGGGTTTGAGAGAAAGGAGGCGCAGCCAGCCGGGAGAGAGCGGTACAGCATGGTCGAGCAGGCTGCCGGGCTGCTCTGGCTCCCACCACCTGCATGGTGAGTGAGGGGGGACCCCTGCTGCCACTCTGCCAGACCCCCATAATCCCACAGGCCACATTGCTTGGGGGAGGTGGCAAGGGGGCAGAGCAGGGGTGAAGCTTGGGGGAGGAGCCAAGCAGGGGCAGGGCCTGTGGTGAGGGGGTGGTCTCAGGCCCCGTACCTGAGGCACTGGGATAGAGTTGCCCCAGGCCCTGAACCCCCCTCAGGGTGGCCCTGCAGAAAGGTAATACCGCCTTGAGGGAAGCACACTCTTCAGGGTTGGGTTAATAATCAGGCGGGCACAGGGGCCTTGTTCCCCCATAATATTATTTAGCACATTCCATCGAACATCGGATACTACCTACTGGCTATGAAAGAGAAGCTACCGGCGTGGCTGAGCTATGGGCAGAAGTATATATGGGCAGATGGGGAGTGCAAAGTTCCCCCAATAGAGCACCATGTGCTTCTGCTTTTAGGCAGACAAAGGGGATCGCCGGGCAGAAGCAAGCAAAGAGGAGCATTCAGAAGCCTGGAGGAACAAGGAAGCTGCAGTGAAAAAATATTAACTACAATAGGAAGACAGAAAGAAAAAAAAAGAGATGGTCTTAGCTGGTTTGATTCTGCCTGGCATTCTCCAACACCAGTTCTAAGTATGTTTTCACCACTGATGACCTTACCCAGTGTCTGCATGGAGCAGAAACAATCTCTATGGCCTCTCTGAGGACGAGTGGTCCTGTGGCACCTTAGAGTATGTCTAGACTACACGGCTCCATCGATAGAGCCGTGTAGATGAGTTTACTAGACATAGGAAAATGAAGTGGCGATTTAAATAATCGCCGCTTCATTTACATCAAAATGGCCACCACGCTGTGCTGATCAGCTGTTTGGCGGCACAGCGGGGCAGTCTGGATGCTCCGCGGTCGACAACGGAAGCCTTTGTCGACCGCTCCATTATGCCTCGTGGAATGAGGTTTACCGGTTTGAAAGAGGTTTACATCAAAGGACACCCCTCACCTCAGTTTCTGCTAATAATTTCACATCTCTCTCTCTCTAATTTTTCTGAAATATCAACAGCCTCATTTTCCTCAGGATTCAGCCTGAGTTCCTGATGGTAGCGACTCCACGGACAGACACAGCCAGGACTAACTGTGCTGACCCTGGGAGCTGGTAAAAAAGAAGAAAAAATACAGAGGCTGCCTGTGACAGGGACTATTATCCTGAAATACTCGTAAGTGTTCGGGGTTAGTGGGACTGCTGGAGTTACAGGGAGTCAGGGACTTTCATCGCCAAGGCAGAGATGCAGGAATGGAAATGTAGCGTTTACCTCGCCGTCCTGGTTGTGTGTGTTGCAGGCACGAGCCGGCTATTTTCCATATTTACGCCCCTCCGCCACCAAAATATTATTTGAACTGGTTCCCCGAATCATTCTTGTCCCCACTTTGAAAGCCCAAAGCCAGTGAACGGAAGCAAGGGAAAATCCTTGACTTTGAAGTCTGCGTTCCAGCCTACACTGCAGGCACAAAGCAAACACGGCCCGCTTTGCTCCTCCCAGGAGTCATAAACAAAAACACCCAAACAAACAAACTTAAAAGGGAGCAACAGAGTCTATTGACTTGTGCATATTAAGAAAGTCAATGGCATTTCTTCTTCAATCACGTCCTCAACAGGCACGTGATGAATATTTCAACAGCCTTTGTTCTCAGAAGGCCCAGACTTACTTCATTATCTCTGCTTATTATCCTCTGAATCAATTCTTCAACAAACTGTCCAGTGCAGTGAGAGATTATTCCTGCACCTTGGACTTTCAGCACAGGCTGAACCTCTCTAGTCCAGAAACCTCCATGGTCCGGCATGATTGTAGTTAGCCAGGTGTCCACTTTTCATGGGTGTGGCCAAGTTTCCCACAGTCCCATAAAGTTTGTTGACAGCCACCAGTCCTGGCTCTCAGTGTTCTGTGCTGTAATTTAGCTCTAATTTACCCCTCAATGTCTTCTAAGAGCCCAGCAAGCAGGAGAAGTGCTGGTGATGCTGCTAGACGATATTGACCTCTCGTGGTCCAACAAATTCTCTGGTTTGGCACCGGTCAGGTCCCGAGGGTGCCAGACTAGAGAGGTTCAACCTGTATGTATAGTCAGGATGATGAGTTCAGAGGTTTCTCTAGGCAGGGCTAGGCAGTTCTCCTTCCCTTCCTCTTACTCCCTTCCTGGATAGAATTATTCACTTCCTCGATAGGAAATTCATTAAAGTCCTCACTTTTCTGAGTTCAGCTAAGGGCATTATCTGCCTGCTGACAGTGGGTTATTAAATACCCAGAAAGTTTCTTTTGACACAATGGGTTCAGTCTCCTTTATTATTATCCATTACATCAGAAAACTAAAAAACTGGCTCACTAGACATGTCTTACTCTACTTTCACCTTCACTTCAAGAAGCACAGTGCATGAAAAGGTGATGCAAGCCCGTCTGGAATACAAAAGAGCACTAGCTGTAGGAGACATTTTCCAGCGCGCCGGGTCAATTACAATCAAAATCATTTTAAAATTGGATATGAAAACTGTTGGCATTCGTTCTTCTGATGCCAGGACAGCCTTTGCTAGTTCACCTGCCTGTCACTTTTAATGAAAGCTAAATTTTAATGAAATCTCTTAGTGCTAATTAGAAAAGGACCTGATCATTTTAGTCAGTTACTGAGCATGAAATTAATAATAAAATCATAAGCAACATATGTGATACTCCCTCACTAGTAACTTTTATTTCTATAACAAAATACAGGACTATGTAGCACTTTAAAGACTAACAAGATGGTTTATTAGATGATGAGCTTTCGTGGGCCAGACCCACTTCCTCAGATCAAATAGTGGAAGAAAATAGTCACAACCATATATACTAAAGGATACAATTAAAAAAAATGAACACATATGAAAAGGACAAATCAAATTTCAGAACAGAAGGGAGATGCGGGGGAGGGGGGATGGTAAATGTCTGTGAGCTAATGGTATTAGAGGTGATAATTGGGGAAGCTATCTTTGTAATGGGTAAGATAGCTAGAGTCTTTGTTGAGCCCCCCGCGTAGAGTGTCGAATGCTATTCGACACTCTACG